TATTTCATTTTTTTTTTTGCTTGTAATAAAACAATAGGTCTTAATAATAAGGCACTCCCCAAATTTGGTAAGAGATAAAGTTACTATTTTCCTTAGGAGGACTATGCGAGAATGACTGTCTTGGATCACAAACGTAGAATAAACCTCAGCATAATTACGTGAAGTAATGATTGTTGATTGAAGGGCCATGGCTAGAAATGTCTTAAGAAAAGGAGGGTAATCCTATCAGTCCAAAGCAACAATATCCACCATTGATAACTCAAACTGGGGCAGGCATAGGGTTGAATTCATTGTGATTGCATGGGACAAGCTTTGTAAATCAAAGAAAAATGGGAGGTTTGGATTTAGACAAATGTTGTTCAATAAAGCAATGTTCACAAAGCAAATCTAGAGAATGTTGAATGAATCAAATGGATTTTGGGGTGAGATTCTTGAACAGAGATACATAAAGAATACATCCCTATTTCAGCTCAAGAAAACTTCGGGTGATTCTATTTGGTGGGAAAATGTGATTAAGATAATGGACAAAGTAAAACAATGCTTATTTTGGCAAATAAAAAAATGGAAATAAAGCTCATGTTCTTGATCCGTGGATACCTTCCACTCATAGTGGAATCCCTTAGTTAAATCTTATTGTGCATAACCAAACAAATATTAGAAAGGTCAAGGATCTTCTAGATGTGAATGGAAGTTGGAATATTCCACTCCTAAACAATTTATTTACTGAAGAAACTGTAAATCACATAGTCCAAATTCCCCTAGACCAAACCTAGAGGGATGATGAAATTTTGTGGAAAGAATCCAAGAATTCTGAGTAATCTGTTAAATCTGGTTACGAGCTCTTTACATCCCACTTACTTTCCTACTGTTCTCCTGTTGCCCTATTGGCCACTAGAAGATCATTTGGAAAGCCAAAGTGCCGGAATAAAGACAAAGGATAAGATGGTGTTTCTTCACCACCAAGATTAGCTTTGCAATCTTCATTTGGGTGTCCAATAAACTATCGCTCCTACCCAAGGATATTTCTGACCAAATTTCTCATACTTTTCAGATTAATTTGGGATATAAGAAATGAGAAGATATAGGGTAAGCTAGTGGAACATCCCGTCCGACTCCTGGAAAGAGCAGAATCATTCCTTTTGACTCCACCGAAGAAACAGTCTAATCCAGCCATCCGAACAACAAATATAACTTGCTCTCCTGAGTCCATAATGTTCACAGATGGAGCGTTTATGCCTTCTACAGGTGCTGATGCAATTGGTTTTGTAATATTATCTAAGAATCTAACTACTATTTTTACAGAAGGAAGACAAATTCTTACTGCATGCCCAGCTCAAGCTGAATGGTGGGCTTTGGTCGAGGGACTGAAGAAGGCCATAGAACTTAACATCAAGTCAATTCTGTTTTTTTGTGACTCTCCAAGTATCGTAAATATAGTAAATCAGGACTTGGAGGCTGATTTTACCTTAGGCTCAGTTTGGAAAGAGTAGATACAAAATAATATAAAATACCAGGTTTTGCACTCTACATATTTGTATTTGTACTCCTTCCAAACCAAGAAGTTATTATGTTTTTTTGAGTATATATGTATTAGCCATATAAATAGGAATGTCAATCCTGCTGCACATCATCTCGCGCATAATGCCTGTAAATTTAACATCACTCTTACTGGCAGCAGTAAGACTTTATGTAATCTTCTCACTCCTGCTTAATACATTTCAGTTTGTTTTTTGAAAAAAAAAAATGCAGGGGCTTATGGTCAAGCCATGTGCTTCTAGTGACCAAGTAATTGAGATGGTCAATTGGTGTCCCTCCAAATGTGGAGAGCTGTGAGATCTAACCGTAAAACTCTTTATGGTAAATAGCGGTGGTAATTGGGCGGGTTTGGCTTGGGTTGAACTTCAACCCAACCCATCTAACCCGCCAACCCATTAATGACCCAGTCCACCAATTCATTAATGACCTTGATATATAAAATTAAATAGGTTGGGTTCAACCCAAACCCGCCTTGACCCAATCCAACCTGTCCAAACCCATTAATCTTATATTTATGTACTTAAAAGAAAAAATTAACTCCCACTTGACAAATAAGTTGGTCATAGCTTAGTGGTAATAATAGTTATTATTTACACAAGTGGTGAAGGTTCAAATTACATTACATGCATGTTATTTTTACACAAGTGGCAAAGCCATTTGATTATGTTTGGGGTTCGGGTTTCGGGTTTGACCGAGCCACTTAGGTTCAAACCAATCAGACCAACTTGAACTATCTAATTAGATTGTCTTCAAGATAATCAATTAGTTGGACCGGTTCAGCCAATGGCGGATTGACTCAGACCAGTCCATATCAGGTCGTGTACAGGTTTGGGACCGAAATGACTGGTCCAAAACGGGTCAAGGGAAGTACATCGGGCTGTTCCAAATTTGGGTCGGGTTGTACAAACGCGAGTTGGCCCAGATGATCCGTAGTGGATTAAAGCAAACCGGTCAGATTTTGGGTCAGATTGTGTCAACTCTAGTCCAAACCAGTCCGTCTGACACCTCTTCGAAATCGGGTTGACCCATCTTGGCCTAGTCTAGATCGGGTTGGATTTGGACACAGCTGACCAACCCAAACAAACCGAATCGAGGTGATCAGGTCTGTTCATATTTTGATCAAGTTAAACTGGTCCGGGCTCGGGTCAGGTTGATTTAGATTTATGTTGATTTGGGTGAAGTGTGTTGATTTGAAGCAAAGTTAATTTCAGTCAATAATTAATAGAAAATTAATGCATCAATTATAAATTATTTCACTCTAATGAAGAAAATTTTAAAAAAATGGCTAAGGAATTAGTTTGTATCTTTAGTGGCTAACCCAATAGTTATCCACAGCCCAACCCGACCCGACCCATTTAAATTGACCCAATGGGTGATCAATCCATTTCTAACCCGCCAAGTAAATGAACAAATTGGGTGGATTAGATACTGAGTGAGTTCAACGGGTTGGATGAGAAATTGCCACCCGTAGTGGTAAGGTTAGTGCAAAGTTCAAAATATCGCATTTATCGATAATTCAGTATATGTATATATATCCTATAATGCAAATGGTTTTCAAACCCGTCAAAATGTGAAATACCATAAGTGAAGTTTTTTAACAGTATCATCCTAAAAATATGATTGACAATCGAAAAATGAGCATTGTAATTTGTAGAGCTAGTTGTCAAGATTAGGTCACATGTTGGATGGTTACCATCAGATGGATGAAACCGTATATACAAAATGATGTTAAAAGAAAGATAAATCTTCGCTTTACTCCACCTATGTTATAGTGCCATTCCTCGTGTCAGATTCTTCCACGGTCACTATTTTATATATACAAATTCATAAGTTGGAGAAATTCGAAAATTCTTCAGGAAAGAGAAATGTGAATCCCATACACTTATTTGTGATAGGTATCTTCAACCCACAATTGAGCCCCTTGACCATTTATATGCACAAAAATTGATTGGATTTAGAATTCTTTGACTTGTTCATGCTTTATAAGGTGCTCTAAAAGCATAAAAGATTAACATTTTTAATTGGGACTCGACAATTCTCTAAGAGGGCTACATTTTTTTTTATAAGGAGGGCCAAAACCTAAATAGATGGAGGGGGAGGGTGGAGAATATATATGGACAGCCATTAGGGAAGAACAACAATTGAGATGGGGAGTGGGGAGAACAAACAGAAAAACGTTGTACAGAACAGTGCACAAGGCACCCATTTAAAGAGGCACAAAACGAACAGATAAAAGTAGAATAAAAATGCTTAAAAGCAAGGTTAAAAGTATCGACTCATATCGGCCAAATCAAGACCCCTTCAATACGCCCCTACAATGGGTGTATCAGGGGTCTGACCAGTTCAGGGGGTGAAGGAGACCTAAACCGGCCCCCCTGAATCAGTTGCAAAAAATAAAGGTGTAAAAATGCAGTATTGATTCGCCGGGCGTATAGATATTTTAAGCCTTGCTTAAAAGAAACTTTCGAAATTGAACAAATCCGTTTAAACTGGTCAAAGGCAAAAACGAGGAAATTGTAAATCCATTTGTCATTCTACCGAATTTACCCTAGAGATTCGTAACATAGACCCTACAGAGAAGAAAGGGTCATAGGTTCGCTCATGATGGGCGCGGCCATCAGCATCCATGAAGAAAAATTTGTGGTAATTCATGAATGGAGACGGCAATTACCCACATAGAAATTGCTGTCATGACGATTTTGGTTTTGGTTGTGGCATAGCATGCAATTTTTCAGACATAATCCTCGGCCACCAACTAAACTTACTTCTAACATAAGCCCATTTTCTCCAAGGCCCCCCTTCCCTTCCATTTTTTCAGTCAAATATTCAATAAAACTATTATTTGTTCCTACTTTCAGAACACGTGAACACTTATCGCTGAATACGGGTTTCGTCCACCACTGACATGACTAACACTTCCATCTGTGCGTGAATTGGTCCTCACACAGACCTCACAAAGCATTTGAGTGTTGTCACTAACCTTTCGGCTTCCCAATGTCTATACAAGTAAACTCACTAGTCACTACTGCTTCTCAGGGTTATAGATTCATCTATCCATCAACCCCACCTTATTCCATTGATTCTCCAAATCTTAGAGGAAACTTCTCAAACACTCCCACTGAAGAGTGGTGCTGATCAATGTTATTCCTGAGCTCAGAATTTCACCCTAACCCCTCTCTAACACTGGACGTGGATCAGATATCAAACCAGCAGGTTCGTAAAATGTTCACTTCTATAACAAGTAAACCAGTCCATCCATCAAATTCCCACAGTTCACAAAAAGTGGACGGCTGACCATCTTTAACCCAGCTTGGCTGTACTTCAACTCCATTGCTCAACTGACCCAACTTACAATCCAGTTACAACTGAACAAGCTCAGCAAGTTTTCAAGTGTTGCCTCACAAAAGGATTCCATATGCTCTATTGTGTGCATTTGTGCGTGATAACGAGTGCAAAATTGCCTGTAGAGAGTACAAAATAAAATTGTTTATTGCAGATAGCAAACCATTTACGAATTCAACCATCACCACACACAAGTTACGGGATAAGGAGGTAGAGTTGATATTTCAGAAATGGATATTACGAGTCTTCGGGATTAGATGGCTATCATCTTTACTTATTCCTCTTCTTCAGCTTCCTCCAGCCAGTTCACGAATGGCTCCAAGGCCTTTACAAAGGTTTGCCTGCAATATTTTACCACATTAAGTTAATGAACTGCAAAGCTTTAATGGGAAATATTCAAATACTCAGGATACACACATGCTGCCCAAACCCAATACTTGATCTTGTTTGATCAAAAGCATACTCTGTCAGCACTATAATGGTTATTTCAAAGCAAGCAAATTCTTTTGCCTTGGTTCTTACAAAGATTCACTTTTTTTAGGAGGGGCATGTCTAAAATACTGGAGGGTGAAAGAGAACATTTTAAGGCCATAAACCATTTTAAGGCCTCTACCAGGGAACAAAACAGAAAAAAAAAAGCAATGTTAATGTATCAAGACTATATAAATGCACACCTTCCCTTAGGATTTGATCCCCTACGGAACCAGAGAAGAATGGTATCTTCTGCAAGCACATCCAGGTCATACAGTGACCTAATAACTTCTGGGAAAATCTTCATTAACTTGGCATCCTCATAGCATTGAATCTGAACTTTGTACATGAGTTCAAGCTCCAGCTTCCCATTAGTACAGAATGTATTTAAAAGTGGTGCCCATGTTTTGACCTGCACAAGACATCAGACACCAGACTGTTTGGATATATCTCAATCATGGTTTCTATGAGATTCATATAAAAGTCTACAAGTTGAAATGTGCTTGTAATTTGTAGAGCTAGTTGTCAAGATTAGGTCACATGTTGGATGGTTACAGAACAAAATATATTACATTCTTGAAATTTTATGCTCTGTAGATGCACAAACAAGCTTATGCTCAGTGATCAAGATGTTAGAAACTTGGAATATGAGCAGTGTTTAGAAAACAGGACCAGATCGGCCAGTCAGACCAATTGAACTGCGCCTAGGCCCATGGATGGATTGGTCATACCCTAAAACCGTAACTCATACAAAACTGGTCAAAACCAGTTGACCAGTTTAACTGGAGAACCAGTGCACCGGTCACGGTTATATAAACTACCTGGTCGCTAAACCGCAACAACAGAGAACCTATGACCTTTTGTTTGTGTGTATTATCTTGTTACCATTAATCCACTTCTCTACTTGTGTTCACACACATATAATACACATGTATTTTAAAGAAAATGCAAGTTGAGCTTGAGCCATCTATCCATTACATTCAAATATGATAATATTTGTAAAATATATTATATATAGTATTTAATGTGACCAGCACTATATATGTATATATATTACATCATTACAGTTTGGCTGCGGTAGAACCTCTAACCTGTGAACCTCTCGCTGTAATGGTTCTATGCCTGGTCTGGTTCTCTAAACATTGAATATGATTATATGAGCACTTCTTAGACCGAGTGCATCCCAAAGATTGCACCTTTCTAACAACTCTAACAGTGTGCACTCAGGATATGTCAGAGAAGTTAATGTTGCAGAAAGTCATTTTTTCGTAGGCAAATGGGCTACACAACGGGGTTCCCCCCCAAAAAAATAATATATATATATATATATATGATAAAAATTAAAAAAACAGGGGTGAAGGCAGTATTCGATCCCTGTGGTCATACTAAGTGCTTCAAGCATTCAACAATTCAAATATATAAAATTTTCAACCTTTTTTATTTGTCACCTAGTTTCTTTACATCAAGTAGCTAGTTTGCATTTCCAATCCTAGGAGATTGGTCCTTCATCTCCATAAAAGCCAATTAAGGCAGGCCCAAACATGTCCGTGCTGGAGTTTGGGCACATCTACCAAAATTTTAGCCTGTATATACAAGGAGGTTGGTTTTGTAATTTTAGTTGCAGCTTTTTTATGACCAATTTTAGTTGCAGTGCTTTCTATTTTAGGTCCAAGGCCTCAAGTATTGGAGATGACTTTTCTTTTGTTTAATTTAAAAATTAGTAGATCATTATTAGTATACAGATCATACTAAAAGCATAGTTGTCAAGGTGACGCCTAGGCGACAAGGTGCCCTTTGAGGATCGCCTCGCCTAATCGCCAAGCAATTTTCTACTTCCTACTATAAAATACTTTTTTATTCATTCTTTTTTGAGATTATAATTATAAAATAGACATTATTAAACTAAAATAATCATTTTGTGTGTTTATATACTAATTTCTTTTTATTATTTTCTTATTTATTAGGGTTTAATCAACACAAACATTGCTAAATGCTGTATTGAACCCTCAAAGACTTAAAAACCTGAACCAATAAGGAAGAACTTAAAATTTTATCCAATAACACACTACTACTACCAATACTTTTTATTTTCTTCTTTTCCTATAACAATAATAAGGGTTCAACCCCTATATTTTTTGAATTTTATTTTCCTTCTTCCTTTTCTTCTCATGAATATGTTGATTTTCTATACTTTAATATGAAATTTATACTTTTCTTATGAAAATCATGAAAAATTATTAAACAAATATGGTTATGGTACCTAGGGAACAACCCTAGGGTCTATGTTTTAAACATAAAAAAATCCATCGCCTAGGCAACGCGGCGACAAGGTGCCCCCCAGTCACCTAGCCTCACCTTGGTGCCTTAAAAAATATGAATAAAAGGTATTTTGGTAGTTGATAAACCATTACAAAAAGTGTAAAAAATAGAGTTCATAGAAAAAAGACAATTTTGAAAAGACACACACCTGGGCTGAGGAGCAAGACACCAGGAGCACACCTTTTGAAATGAGCTATCAGCTATGCCTTTTAAAACACAGATCAGACTCTGTTTGACAAATGGATCTCCAATTGAGATGTTTAAAAACTAAATGACCTCCACTAAGGTGATCCTCTATCACCTTTCCTGTTCATCCATGTAACTGAAGAGTTGAGTATACCAACAACCAGAGCCATGCAAGGGGAAGAAGGTTTTCAACGGGTGCTGGTGTAGGTGACATTGCATTGCTACAACTTGCAGGTGATACCCCATTCTTTTGTGAGGCTTCAAAAGAGCACCTGGAAAACCTAATATGTTTACTCAGATTATTCAAGGTGGCATCAGATCTGAAGGCAATTTACGGAAAAGTGAGTTATTTGCCATGGGATAAGTTCCAGATGTGACAGATTTGGCATAGACCTTATGTTGTTATGTGGGAATACTGCCAACAAGATATTTGGGTCTGCCTCTTGGTGCTCGATGCAAGTCCAAGGACCCTAGGATTGAAAAGTTTGACAGAAATTGATGTGGTAGAAAGCAGAGCGAAAGTAGTTCTCGTCAATTGCACTAGCAGCTCTATCCCCTCAGTAGTGGCTAGACAGCTAGAGAAGATAAGGAACTTTGAAGGGGTGGAAGATGAGTTTTAAGTAGTATAAGGTCCGTCACCTATGAAGGCAAGAAGGCCACCAAGAATTAGAAGTCTGAAGAAGTACAATACAACATTCTTAGGGAAATGGTATTGGGACCAGGGAGTTAAGGAGGAAAGTTGCAGATTCTTGTTAGCATCAACAGTATGGGGGCAGTTTAATCATTTTTATCTTTGTTTAATGTGAGGTGTAATGTTAAGTTATGTGTCCCATACTTAAGAAGAGGCAAAATAGACCTTTTGTTTTATCATTGAAAGCTATAAATACAACCTGGCCGACTAGAGAGAGGTTTTTCTCTCTTGTTCGAACCAGACTTTTCTTCTCTTCTCTTCTTCTTCTCTCTCCTATCTCTTCTAACCTTATTATGCTGCTTTTCTCAACTCAATACTAGTGCAGATTTAAACTTCATCAAATCTAAATATGGTGTATGGGAGATGGAATGAAAGCCTGGCAGAAATGTTCAGTCCTTTGGCACTTCTATTTGAAAGGGTTTCTGGCTAAGAGGGGGCTTAGTCAGAGAAACCCATTATCTCCTTTCAACCTTTCCTGTTCACTCTCTTGGCGATGTTCTCAGCAGAATATGGGTGTTGTCAACGGTTGGAGTGTGGAGAAGGATCAAATAGTGGTATCACATTTATAGTTTGCGGATATTGTAGTTTTTGTCAAGATGATAAAGGAAGGGGAGTAAAAAACTTGAAACTTTTCGTTGAGTTCTTTGAGAGAATCTCTAACTTGAAAGACAATCTTGGGATAAGGTCTGGCTGGTTTGAATTTGGAGGATGGCATCACACAAGGATGTGCTGAAATTTTGGGTTGTTCAATCTTCCGTAGGCAATTAAGTATCTTAGTTTACCACCATTAGGAAGTAACCCTATAGTTTTTTAGAATCTAGTGGTGGTTGGTTTTCTAAATGGCTGGCTGGGTAGAAGAAAAATTGCATATCTCTAGAGGGTAGAATCACCTTGATCAAGTCTACTCTTGCCAACTTACCTATCAATTATTTCCTTGTCTTTAGAATGCCATCTCTAGTGACTAAGACACTAAAGGGAATCATCAGAGACTTCTTGTAGGAACTGAGAGAAACCAGAAAAGATCATCAAATAAGAATCATCAGACTTCTTTGCTGGTCTATATGGCTAGAAATAAGAGTTTTTTATCTTCAAGCTTAGAGGTAGAAAGCCTGGTGGAGGAAATTGAGCGGTGTATTGGGCTGCCATCCTGAAAGATTTCTCAGGTTTGGGACCAGTTCAGTTTTCAAGCAATTGGGAGGAAATTCTTTTTGAAGACAATGTACATGAAGTAAATAGTTGATACACTTTAAACTTGTATAGCTTCATCTAGTCTGAGTAGGCCGGTATGATATGTGCTTTGTAATATCTTCAGGAAATCTCCCCCTTCCTTTGAGTAACAGAATTATATATACTTATCAAAAAAATTACACATATAATTTAAAAGATATATAACTAAAAAGTGGTAATATTTATGGAAAAAAATACAATAAGAGAATAACACAAACCATACCTGGCGCAGAGCCGCATTAGCATTCTGCTGCTGGTTTTTACCAGACCACTGAACGGCATCCATTAAAACATCCCATAAGATCCGTACAACTTCAATATCAGGCAATTTAGCATCCTTAAAACGCTGCTTCACGTTTTCTATGACTTCAGAAATATCAGTATCTTCTGCTATTTGATTTGTCAATGCAGACTTCATCTCCTTGAGTTTAACCTCAAACATCTTCTTCTCATTGTATTCAACCAAAGCTACAAGCCCTTCCTTGCTGAACATCAAAGAAGTGCACATGCATGAACTTTAGTTCAGCACTCATGTATGCCAAAAAGAAGACCAAAAATAATTACAACAAAAACAAACCAACCTTCCACCATTAAACAGATATGCATGCATGAAGACCATAAAGAACAACAAAATAAAGACAATAAATGAGACAGAATACCATCACAGAATAAAGAATAAGAATCAGAAGATAGCTAAAAGGGAAGCCCAGTACACAAGGCTCCCGCCAATGTGGGGTCTGGGGAGGGACAAGCCTATGCAGCCTTACCCCTACACATACAGAGAGGCTGTTTCCAAGATTTGAACTCTGGTCACCCAGATAGCAATGGAGCAGCCCAACCGTTGTGCCAAAACTGATAGGAATCTTGAAATTGTTCATAACTTCAAATTGCCAAAATTACCATTTGCTCTAAATAAATTGACAATCACAAATATAAATTTCTTTAATAAACTAGATCCTTTAAAACAATAGAATATCTGAAATTCTACTTATCATTAAATGCCACTAGATCAACTCTTAAATTTAAATAAAACAATAGAATAACTGAATTGGTTAGAAAAATAATAGAAACTTTTATTGTGACAATTAGGTTATATAACTGCTAATAAAAGAATGCTGACTAGATTCCAGAGCTCAGACAATCATCAAATTAACAGTTTGAAACTTATTCTAGAAGAAAATATTATCAATATATCCTTAATATTCATGTGATGCATTTTCAGCAGTTATTTGTATAAATATTTTGTAAAAATTAAATTATCCTTAAATGGAAACACCCACGTGAAGTGTTCAGCAAAACCTTCAGGGGACCGCTTTGCAGATGGAAAGAAGTCAAGGAGATTGTCCTCCATTTTACCCCGCTTCAGAAGCGAAATCAGATCATCAAGGCTATTATCTTTCAGGTATTCCTTGAAGAAGTCTGTAATGAACGAAAGAACTAGCCCTTTGCCCACAAGATTATCTTTGAGCAGTGGCTGGAAAACTGTCTCCGGCGGAAGCCCTGATAGCTTCTGGGAGAATGTAAGGGCTGTAAAAATTGCAAGTTTCTTCCTCTCATTCTCCTCAAAAAGCTCCAATGACTGGAGGAACCTTCGCATAACATTTTCGAGGTTCTTTATCAAGAAAGGCCTCCGGCGCAATATCTTCTGAATATATAGGACAGATGGCAAAATAGCTTCACGTTTAGGCTCACAATCTATAACAGAATAACTGTGACGCTCCCCCTCATCAGGCTTTGTTGTGCCAGGTTGAGTACGCCCCCCTGTGAAGACTACCTGCAGTTATAAGACAATTAGACCTTACACCAGAAATAAGAACTTGAAATAATTGTTAGGTGAAGCAAATTGTATATCAGCATCCTATGTTTTTAATTTTCAAGTTTCAACCATTACTCAATGGCATTCTAGAAAGTTATTTATCTAAATGAATAAAAAATACAAATAAAAACAAAAGAACAAGACAATGAAATGAAGAAAAAATCAATAAGAAGACTTTCAGGTCTCTTCATCCCTCCAGGCCTCCCTATATCCAAATTCTTGTTTCCTTTTACATGGGTTATAGATAAGTTATATATGATTAACTGACAAAACCATTATTTCTTTTACTTCCAAAGTAAAATTTATTACTATCCTTAGTTCTCTCTTTCTTTTTTTCATTCAAACATTTTTATCCTTAGTTGTCCATTAAATATAAAACCAAAATAGTGAAAAATGTATTGGTTCAGCCAACCCAAATAGTTAGAACAAGACTGATGCGGAAGAAGAAAATGAAGATTTCTAAGCATTTAATTGCTTAGAAAAAGTTATAGATCATATACACCCCAAAGGAACTGTATAAGACTTGTTCACTGCCAGTCAAAAAATCTGTTGTAGTTCTCATACATTTGTACACCTTGTTCACTGCCAGCCATGAACACAAGTTACCTTTGATTTTCCCAAGCACCACCTGCGCATGGCTCCTGGGTACTAGACAAAATAATACTGGCAATAACATGAAGGGCATGAGATGATATTATAACATAAATTGGCAAAAACATTATAGGTATGTGGATTAGCAATATTACTGCACACAAATGGACATAACTAGCAATTAACCAGCTTGAAAGACATAAAAATAAATCTTCTTAGTTTTTGTTTGTGTGATAAATTATTTGATTGATCTATTAGAATCACTTACACTTTCTATAACTTAAAATTTTGCTTGAAACTCACTATATCATGTAGTTTTGACTCTTAAAGTTTAAAGGACAGCTTCTCAGCAAATTATTTTGTTTATTAACCTTGGTTTCTTATATTTGCTTAATTGTTTGAATAAGATAATAATTTAAAAGGGTGTAACTATGCTCGCTTTATCATTTTATAAAATGCCATTCTATACTTTTTGCATATTTAACAATGTTTCCACCAGTCTAAAATTTTCCAATATTTCCATGCCATTTTTGGCTAACATGTTTCTTGTATTTTGATTACTGATATTTCCATCCACCGATGCCAACATTTTAAACCTTTTTAAGGCCCAACCTAAAGAATTAGCCACTAGGGACAGAATCCAAGACCTGGTCCAACCTAATTTTTTTAACCTAATGTAAAGCCCAAGTCAACCAGCCCAACAACGCAAAGCCTGACTAGGACTTTTCAAGCTTAATGGATTCCTTTCCATGTTTCATCATTATATCCTTTTTGGGTTGTAAAATCCAGTATAGAGGGAAAATAAAAGATATGCTTAACACTGCACACATTTGTTGTGTACATACTGAATAATGCACTTTCACATAGAATACACAAAGAAAAAGCTATACAAGATGATCATCAGCTCATAGAATACACAAAGAAAAAGTCTGAGGATTATTAGAATAAAACAATCAACAAACTCTAAGAAAATAAAGTCAAAACCTGTCTCAACATAAAGCAGCAACAATGGAATCATGAGGCCAAGAGACATCATCATAACCATAGCTCTGAAGCAAGTCACAAGCCAGATTTTCTAAGGAGCCAGTAGTACACTTACCTTACAGTTATTATATGATCCAATCTCCAATGTATAGCATAGAGCTCAGACACTAGAGGAATGCCAAGGCTTTGTAAACAAGCCTTAATATCATACCATTTTTCACAGCCATAAAATGGTGGTCCTCAACCAACTCTTCTCTGCAAATCACTGTGGTTGAGGTGAAGAGCATATTTTTCATTCTGTGCATGTTCCTTTCATGCCAAAGCTCCCATAAAATAACCACAGGCAAAAAACTAACCACTGCACCCCATTGACTCCCATGGGCAGAAGCGAAGCTAAACTACTCATTAATTCACTTGGAAAAAAATTCCCCATCGAACTCAAGGAGAGACAATTTCAAAGTAAACGGATCCATTGTTCTCTGACAAAATACTCCCTATAAAGAGATGATGAACATCTTCAATATTTGGTTCTTACAACAGTTGCACCTCAAGCAAAAAGGGATCAATGCCAGCACATTGGTGTCTACTGGGAGTTCACGTCACCTCCCCGGTGTCTACTGGGATCAATGCCAGCACATCTCTGCCCCACATCACTTCCCCGCCATGTACTGAGAGCATCTCCCGATGATGACATCATGGGTTCTGGTACTATCATCGGGAGATGTTCCCAATACACGGTGGGGATGTGCTGTGGGGCGTTGTGGGGCGAAACATTGTGAACTCGTCTACTGGAAGCTTACTTTTCAAAGATCGTCATGCCAAAGAAGACAATTTTGGAGGCATATAAGAAGTCCAAATCCATTTCCAACCTTTCCACCTTTGTTTTCTATCTCTCAGCTTTTCCTAGGCTGGTTTTTTGGTATTTGCCCCATTGGAAGTAGCTGTGCACACAACCATATCATTCTTGTTTGTAGTAAAAAATCCCTCAGCTACAATATGATTTAATGTAGAAACTTTTTTAGTTTTTTTATCAGTAACAGAAACAGATTCATTCAAATTTAAGAAATATAGTACAAGTGAATAGAAAGAAGGGGCAAGGGATAAAATCTCATAACTCCTCCCCAAATAAAAGTTACAACACAACCCAGAATAAACTATTTCTCCCCACCCCTTGTTTAGCAAATGCATTGGCAAAGGCATTTGCATCTCTTCTGACCCAATCACAAATCCCTTGCAACAGATTCATGGCTTTCCTCTTCTTATAAATATAGCACCACCATCCAGCCTCCTCTTCTTTCTTGAGCCAGCTTATTACAAGCTTCGAATCACCTTCAGTTAACAGTTTCCTAACGTTCAGCTCCTTTGCCTTTTGAATCCCTTCCATAACTGTCATGATTCCAGCCCTTAAGAGAGTCCCCAACACCTATTGGACCCAAGAAGAATGCAATGACAATCCCCTCCTCATTCCTGAACACTCCAATGCCAAATGGGCCCGAGTTGCCTTCACTACTACCATCAAAGTTGAGCTTGGCAGCACCTCTCAGGGATGGGGACCATAATAGGTCCCCATTATGGTCTGACAGCTCAGCCTCAGAAACATCCTTGAATAGCTCTGACAGTTTCACCTAGTAGATCACCTTAAAGTAGAAACATCTAGTTGGTTGTCAACCTCCTTCCAGTTCCAAGCACTATCAACCCCAAAAGATCCTTAACTTGGACGACAGTTTCACCTAGTAGATCACCTTAAAGTAGAAACATCTGGTAGGTTGTCAACCTCCTCCCAGTTCCAAGTAGGGGTGCTCACGGATCGGTTAGGGTAATTTTTTGGACCGGACAGAACTGTTCGGTTTTTCAATTTAACCAAACCGAAACCAAACCAGTGCAATCAATTAGCCGGTCGACCGGTTAACCGCGGTTCAGTTTTTCAGTTTTTTTGGACTTCAGTATTAAAAAAAAAGGGGAAAAACCTTCCCCGCCGATGGTCTGGAGAGAGCGAACATGAACAGAACTGAGACTAAGAGTGAAAGAGATTGAGGAGGTACGAAGAGAAGATTAGATTTCTTGGACATCTAAGCTTGGGCTCAGGAAAGGCGGCATCATCGCCGGCGGCGGCGGAAACGAAGCCGGAAGCACCAGTGGCGTCTCCCATGACGGCAAACAACAATAACGGAGGGAGAAGCAAGACACCGAGACACCCACAAATAATAATGCCAAAGCCCTTGTTTCATAAACAGGTGAATATACCGGTGGGCTTACGAGTGGTTCGTAAGCACCTAGGGAAAGCCGGTCAACGTCTTTAGTGATCGCCGCCATAAAGCCAGTGGCATTTCAATGAAGGAGTTCACCATTACAGCAGAAGGGCGGGATCCAGAGCGCTATTCTTCATTGCAAGATATCGTTTCATGCTTCTAAAGACTAAAGGTAGTGTTATTCTTCATTGCAAGAGATCATTCAATGCTTCTAAGTTCTAACTAAAGGTAAAGATCGGTATTCTAGTCTACATTGTAAAAGAGATAAAAGAGACAGAAGAGACAAAAGAAAATAAATGCTTGAAAATTTTTGAAAAGACAAAAGAGAAGAAAAGCTTTAAAATTTTCGACTTTCGAGACTAAGAGACTGGCAGACTCCAGTCTAGCACTCTGGCAAAGGCAACTAGCACTCTAGGAGAGGCACTCTAGTCAAACTTTCAATTTTCAAATTGAAACTTTAACTCTGAAAGTCTCTCAAACTGCCAAAATTGTTATTCAATTTTTAAAAACAAATAAAAAATATAATATAGTATATATAATATTATATAAATATATATTACTTTATATATATAATATTATATAAATATATATATATATATATATCGGTCGATTCGATTAATCGCCGGTTTTTTTAAATGGTTAACTGAAACCGAACCGACCGATTCGGTTAACCGATTTTTCGGTTTGGTTTTTCGGTTTTTTTGCTCACCCCTAATCCCAAGCACCATCAACCCCGACAGGTCCTTAACTTGGTCATTCCTATTGATCACCTCATTGCTAAGGAAAATTTTGATTAAAAGGACCAACCCTCAACCAAACTGATTTCCCCTTCTAATAAACCTCCTTGTTTTCTCCAACAACTCATGGTGTAAAGCTAATTTTGTCCTCCAGGCCTTGGACCTCACCCTTGTCTCCTTCGCTACAAAAATACGTTAAACTTTAAGTTATCTCAACACAAAATGTTCATGTATAGTGAATGCTCAAAACAGGGTTTCCAAAAAGCCTTGAGCCTGAAACAATACTCCACATCAGAGAGGCATCTAATACTCAAACGGCCTTACAAATTGGGATAAGCATAGGTCCTTCCAATTTGTCCAATGGTGCTTCTTTGAACCATCAGTTGCATTCCAAAGA